AAGGAATTGATATGTTTTCGAAAAATAACGCTCGTGGGTTCAATCGAAGTCAGGCTAGGGTCAAAAGTTAGCCGCTCATCGTTCACATCCCCAAAAATCATACATATGAACGTTCTGAAAACTCTAAATATTTTACTGCCATAACTGGAATCAAAACCTTACCATAAATGGCCCACGTAGTCAAGTCTTACCAAAACCAACAAAGCTATTGCTCGCCTTTTAAAGGCTGGTTTAAAAGTAAGATGGAGACAGAATGCGGCTAAAATTTCACAAAACCGGAAAAATCCTAGCAGACACTACCTGAAAATTTGCTAGTCATTTTGCTTTTCTGGATAAATCATTGCCTAATCCTGGCTACTGTCTAGGATTTGTCTTGAGGAAAACGAGGGACATCATAAAAGGCATAACATTGGAAAGAACAGAGACTGTAGATAACAACAAAGTAATTACACAGCACAACAGTGTCACAGAAGAGCATCAAGTGCACATAAAAAATCCATGGAAACACATGAAATTAGCGCCTAAAAAGCGTGAAATGAGAATTTTTCAAATTCAATAATAAAAATGAGAAAAACTGGAAAGATTGAAGTAAGAGGCAGTAATAACCGGAAAGCAGAGCAATTAACTGGGGAAAAACATTTTTTTGCGACCAATTACAGCGACATCATAATATGATCGATTTTTACAGTTCTAAAAAAAATTTCGTAGATTTGTAAAAAATCGATCAAAATTCGAAAATTTTCATGTAATTATCAGAACCCGTGAGAAATTTGCCCCCATGAGCAAAAATTTTCGTGAATTTTGGTGTGAAGCGCACCGGCACACGACAGATCAAGGGAACACTGTGAGCACGGTATTTCTATAAATACACAGTTTTGAAAATTTAAAAAAATAAGTTTTTCAGCAAATTTTGCAATAAAAAATTATGCTTTACCATTTGAAAAAATGTCGTAATAATTGTTAGCAACAAAAATATTAAGTGAAAAAACGGCATTGTGATGTGATATCTGCATATATAAATGTGAAAAAAGAAACAAAAAAAAAATGAAATAATATGTGAAAATAGCCAGGAATATGACTACTATTCTAAGAAATTCTGCCAAAAAAAATCTTAAAAATGCAAAAAATCGCCAAGATCACCGAAGATTGCCCATGCAGAAAGTTTGAGCACTTAAATGTGCTAGATAGTAATCATCCGATTAGGCAAATTGGGCCAGGCCTTTCTTTTTCAGGATATATTCGAATGGGAAAAACCTAAAAGATAACTTCCGGGGTTTTTTCGCCAGTAACGCCACTAAAATGGGATAATCACACTGATCAGTTGAGCGGTCTTGGCATTTTTGATATTTTTCAGAAGATGAAAACTATCGCAATTTCACCGCACAAAACATGAAGCTGTTCTTTACATAATATATCGACCCAAAAAAATACGAAATAAGAAATCACAGTATTGCAAAAACACAGCGTTGCGTGAACCATCATGCAATACATATGAAAAAGCCTGAAATTCCTAAAAACTCTCTTTCTGGACACTGATTTCTGCAAACTGGGCTAGTGTTTTCCTTTATTCTGTCGTAAAAATCGTGGAATAACCACTTTTGAGAAAGTCTGTCTGTTTAAATTTTCCGATTACTTGCAAGAGCTGAGGTAACTGTTTTTTATCCCTGCTGCATAAGCGCAGAATTTCTGGGTGTGAGATCATGGAAATCATTATGACGGGGAATCAGGTTTCAAGTTCAGTACTTTCGATCTAAAGTTTTTCAACATTTTTAGCTCTTCTGCACTTTTAAGTGCCGCTTTTTTTGTATTTTTTTATTCGTCCAGGTCGCTGTCCTGACTTTAAATGCGGCCAAACTGAACGTCGACTTGCCCTCAAATTGCGTAAGGTGAACTTGCCCTCAAATTCGACGAAACCCAATCTTTCCTTAAAAAGCTTTTCATCCTATCTTTTTTCGGTTTTTCATCTTTCATATTATCTTAATGGTATTTGCAACGCTGTGCCTGCAAATACATTCGCACCTCCTCGCAAAATAGAAGAAAAAAAAATTCATTAGCTCTAATTACAGTGATAAGTAGGCGCCGCAGAACTGCAATTATAAGTTATTAGGTGCCGTCGTGAAAAATACGAAAATCAAAATGAGACCAGTCGGAAATAAAAAAAAAACAGTGACATTTCGTGCTTCATGTTGCTCGTTTACCATAGATGTCTGCTAAATTATTGAAGCGCGGACCCCATTTCTCGATCTGCAAAATGAAAAATTCAATATGTAAATTTTGAAAAAAAAAGCACGTGAACGTAAAAAATGTGGAAGAAAAAGTGATAAGTAGGCGTCGCAGAACTGCGCAGTAGAATTTTTCTTCCTGAAGGTAAGGTGATGGTGATAGAGTAGGATGGAGGGACGAAGAAAACAGAGAGAGAGGAACACGTTTCTTGTATTGAATTACGTTTTATAAGAACATTATCTTACTTAAAAAATACTCGGAATACGCTTG